GGGGGGGGGCCACGCCGGCAGACCCCACCCCTGCCTCTCCTTCCTTTCCCAGGCCTGCAGCACACAGGCAGGCAGGAAGGGAGAGGAGCGGCCACGCTCGAGGATACCGCCCAGCAAGGGGGTGGTGAGCCCGCCACACTGCCCCAGCTCTGCTGGTGGCACACTGGGTTGGGGAACCCCCACTTACCATGGGGTGCTGGCAGCCATGGTGGGGCTGCCCCCAACCCATCCCAGCACAGGACACCTCCAGGCTGGGCTGGAGACAGGGACACCACCAGGCTCCAGCCAGTCCCCCGAGCAGGTGAAGCCCCCCCGCCCTTGGCACCACCACCCCCTCTGCACCCCCCACCCGCAGTGCTGCCAACCTGCGGACGATCATCTTCAGGGTACGGTAGGAGCCCTTGATGAGGATCAGGGCCTCCTGGCGGGACCCATACAGCGGTGTCCCGCTGATGTTCACCAGCTCGTCGCCTGGCTGCAGCCGGCGGGAGAGCGCGGCCTTGCCCCCGTCCTCCACCTGGGCAACAAAGAGGGGTGTCAGGGGGGGCACGGCCCCCCAGAACACCCCAGGGGGTGTGCCGCTGCCACCAGGTGCCAGGGGAGAAAGAGGCTTCAGAAAGGGGCTGCCTGCGCCCCAGGCACCACGGAGGAATCTGCGGCGCCAGGCTCCCCCCCTGTCCTGGTCACATGAATTTCTGAGCAAGGAAAGGGCGGGGGGGGGAGGGGGGGGCAGAAGAAAAATGTCCCGTCCCAGCAGATTCCCCCGCAGGCGCGGGCAGCACAAGGGCCCTTTGTCCAGCACACATGCCAGCCCCCCGCCACTGCTCCCAGCCCCACATCGGCCCTGCCCGGGCATCTGCGGTTATTTCGATGCCTGAAGGATGCCATCATGCCATGTGCACCCAGGGGAGCCAACAGCAAGGGAATCGCTGAGGTGTGCCTGGCCCTGGCACATGCCTACCCCATCCTGGCACCCATGGCCGAAATGAGCCTAGTACCCCATACCACCACAGCTTGGAGGACACAGGGCCATGGTGCTGCCAGCACAGAGGGGCCCCAGCCCATCCCCTCTGCCCCAGCAGGTAGGTGCAGCATGGGCAGCCCTGGGATGAACAGTGTCCAGCTGGGGTAGGCAAAGCGCCTGGTGCTGGCACTGATTTCTGCCCATCCTGCTGCTCCTGATGGCCGGGGATTGCCATGCCCAGCACCTCACACCGCAGGGCTGGCAAGTGAGCCTGGCTGCTGGGCTGCATGGTGGCAGTGGCACAGGGCATGCAGGTGTGTGGGGCAGGACCTGCGGTGCCCCATGCCCCCATGCCCAGCGTGGATGTGGAGCCAGACCTGGCCAGATCCTACAGCCAACACAGAGTGACAGGCCGAGCTGGCCTGGCCCCATGCCGGGGCTCCTGCGCCCACCCTGCCCGTGGGTTCCTCACCCTGCCCTGCCATTCCTGGCCTGATGGAAAAATGAGCTCTGCCCACAGTGCCCACAGTGCGAGCTCTGGAGCACAGCCTGGGTGGCAGCCAGGCCCCAGTGCCATGGCTCCCCAGCAGGCTGGCCACACGCACGTGCCAGGCAGGGCTCAGGGGGCATCCTGCTGCCCATGGGCGACACAGCACCAGGGGGAGCCAGGCAGGGACAGCCAGGCCTCCTGCCCAGCCCAGCACTGCCCCATGGCTCGGTTGTGCCCAGCACCCCACAGCTCTCCCATTTTTGGGGGGACCTGGGGATTGCAATGCCATGCCCAGGCTGGGCACAGCCCAATGCGCCTGCCTGTGCGGGCAGGCTGCCCTTCCACCCAGGAGTTAGCTGTGGGGCTGCCTTCCAGGCACTGGCCCCCAGCTGTCTGCAAGGGCTCCCAGTCCCACCATGCACTTGCTGGAGCACCCAGGTTTAACCCCTGCCACGCTGCTGCCCACCACCAGGCAGCTCTGGCAGAGCAGGCAGACAGGGCAGGCTGCACCTTCACCCCAGTCTTCTGCCCAGCCACGTGCCCACCCTGTCCTGCCTGTCACAGCCATGGGGCTGAGTCAGTGGTGACGCGTCCTCCCCCAGTGCAGGACACCACCAGGGCTGCACCCACGTCTGGGCCACCACACGCGCCGGGATGGGCACAGCTTAGCCCTGGCATCGCTCACCAGGAGCTAAATTTGGCACAAACAGCCCCTTGTTCTGCCTTCACCACCATTGAAGTCAGCGCTGGCAGCCAAACCTCGCTGCCTGCTGCCCTGCCTGGCCAGGCCAGCCCCAGGCACTTCCCCAACACCACCCCTGGTGTTCACTCTGGGCCCTAATGGTGGGCACCAGCTGGCTCACAGGAATAATCTGCCTGCCCCAGAAGAGACTTGTCTTAGAAGCAGTCACAGCCACAGCAGTGCCTGAGCTGTGCCCACCCTGCCCCATGCAGACCTCCCTCCTTGCCCCTGATGTACCCAGAGGGCCCTGTGCCGGGGGTCGCTCAGCAGCCCCATGGAGGGCCCAGAGCCCACACCAGCCCCGCTATGGGACTCTGCCACAGGAAGGGATCCCGCCTGGAGTGGGCTCAGAGACCAAACTGTGTCACCAAGCACCGAGACCCCCTTCCCCTTTACGGCGCGGGGCCCGGGGCCCCCCGCACTGCAGGCAGGGGCTGCCCCCTCCCCGCATGGGCCGGGACGCACACACCTCGGCCCGGCCGCAGCGGCGGCGGAGCGGGCGCCCCGGGGGACCCTCCCCTGAATGCACAGAGAGCTGGAACAAGCCCCCTTTGTCTGCAGAGCACACGCAGTGGCAGCGGCACGGCCCGGGGGGCGCGGGGGCCGGCACCCCCCGGCCC